ATAGGTTCAACATCACCTGGTGACATTGAGATATAAAGTTGAGTATCGTCTGCATAATTGTGGTAGTTAATATTATTGGTGGTTATAATCTGGCTTAATGGAAGTATGTAAATGCTAAATAAGAGGGGCCCTAGGATGGAACCCTGGGGGACCCCGCATGTGATTTCTATATTTTGTGATGAAAATTGGCTAATTGACACATAGAAGTTCCTGTTCTTAAAGTAGGACTTGAACCAGTCGAGTGCTGTACCAGAGAGTCCGGCCCAGCTCTCTAGATGTTCCAGTAATATATCATGATCAACGGTGTCAAACGCCGCACTAAGTAGTACCAATACTGTGGATTTCCCACGGTCATTATTTATACGGATGTCATTAAACACTTTGAGGCTGTCTCGGTGCTGTGGTGCCTATGAAAACCAGACTGATAAATATCAAAGCGGTTGTTCATTGCGAGAAAGCTGTTTAACTGCTGGAAAACAGCTTTTTCAATAATTTTACCGATAAATGGAAGATTAGAGATTGGTCTGTAGTTTTGCATTAATTTGCTGTCTAGGTTCTTTTTCTTTAATATTGGTTTGATAACTGCTGATTTTAAGGCTTTGGGAAAGACACCTGATAGGAGGGATGCGTTAACTATTTGGATCAGATCCTCCCTGATGGCTGGGAGGACCTTTTTAAGAAAACCTGTCAGTAATATATCCAAGCAGCAGGTGGCAGAGCTTAGATTCTCAATAATTTTATGGAGGCTTGATTGATTTATTGTTTGAAAGTGAGTCATTTTCTCTGCATAAGTGCTAATTGGGCTTAACGTCGGTATTGGGGTTGAAACTAATATTCCAACTGATCTTCTGATTTTCAAGATCTTTTCAATAAAGAAGCTGGCAAATTCATTGCAGGCCCTGGTGGAGCTTAGTTCAGGGGCTATTGCCACTGGAGGAGTAGTTAATCTTTCCACTGTAGCAAATAATGTCCTAGCATTATTGTTGTTTCTATGAATACTCTCAGAGAAAAATGACTCCCTTGCATCC